GATTATGCCATTTATCAACCTGAACAGTGGGTCTGTTTTGAACATTGGTTTATGAAGCCTGAATATTCTGGCCCAGTCCTCACCTGATGCAGCGTAGAATGACTCCACAGATGTCCTACTCAGGATCTGGTAGGATGTGTTCCAAGACATGCATTTTCAATTATTTCTTCTTATTCAATAGAGTTACATATTTCTTAATGGTTCAATGTGTTAACCATATTTTACTTTTGAACTTCATGGTTGTTCTCTTCTGCCCCGTCTCTAAGTTCAGGTTCCTTTCATCAACCTTGGAAAATTCAGTGGGTCAATTTCTTCTCCATTAAATTATCATCTCACTATTTCAATAGCATGTAGTTTTAGAGTAAACTTAATAGCATTCATTACTGAAAGATGACATTAGTTTGATACTTATTCACAGCTCTCAGGCGATTCTTTAAAAATAACGTAATAAAAACATCAGCAAAACGCCTTCAATAAAAAATAATTATAAAACATTTTACTCTTGTTTTCAATTTGACCCTGTCATCAAAGATGCAGCAGAAAATGGACCAGCTGGTTGTCATTTGCAGTATCTATCCGCTTTCACTTTCGCTCTCCTATACGGAAAGAGTAATGAAACAAGATTTAGAGTAAGACCAAATATGATTACATCTGTGTGTTTTATCTGCCTCAAAGCGTTAAGGAAGCACTGAAAGCAATTTTTCTTAAACTTTGCTTCAAAGCACATATAAAAACCTAACGTCACTTTGGATTTGTTAATTCATTTTATTTTTTTAAGGAGCTAGAACTGCAACGTGTAAAAGTTAACCTTGTCTTCCCTTCAAATCATCATGAATTGCGTTTTGTCCACTCTGAGGATTGCAATTCAGATTCAATGTGATCTGAAACTGATACTCAACTTGTGATGGCCCAGGAGTGTTCTCACATCACTTGCAATTGTCATAATTAGTTTCTGCATTCCACCTACTGAATTAATGCAAATATTTATACTGTATACCGATACAAAATGTTTTAAAAATTCAAGACAGCTTCTATAGTCTAAGCTCGGGGGGAAAAAAATTATTCCCACTAGATAACATGAAGACTGTGCTTAATAAATGCTATTTCTCTTTAAAATGCAGCTTTCCCCTCTCCAAAATGTTCTGGTGCCATAGGTATTGAGTTAAAGATTAGCTTAATTTTTGTGATTAAAAAGATTCATCCTGCAACTCCTCTGTACTAAACAAACTGGACAACCTAGTTAAAGATTTCCAGAAGAATTCACTTCTGGGTAAATTTAAACCTGCAAACTTCATCTAAAGAAGTGAAAACTCAGAACACAAAAAAAAGCCAACCCCAGAACTCAGGCAGAACACTGACCAGAGAGGAAATGCTCAACACCTCACCCCCCTGAAATCTAGCTCTCTCTTGTACCCCAGGTTTACTGTAATTCCATCTCCCAGTACTTTTTAAATCAGTACATTATTTCTTGTACTTTGAAGTACCTGTCAAGCAGCATTTCATGAAAAGTGCCTTCTTTCCTGGCTTTTCTGAGGGCTTTTGTATCTTCTTTGCTTATTTTAAGCTTTTTGTCTTGAAAACTTTGGAATTGCTTTCTGCAATGGGGGGGGGGAGGGAAATGTAAAAAGTGTCACTTCTTTAAAGTTTTGTGTTTCAATAAAACAACACCTGTGATAAGAATCTTAACTTCTATCATGCAGTAGACAACTGGCCTAATAAAATCCAGCAAATGATCACAGTATCAAAATATTGCTCTAAGACTTGTGTAGGTGAAAACTATTCAGGTTTTTTTTGGCAGTCTAAGTGGGAATGAGCCCCTACATGATTAGCATGATGTGGTTACAGGTTCTAAAGAGCCCCTTCTACTAGCATGACAAGTCAGGGAGCGAAAGTGTATTGGATGTAGGTGGCAAGGTGCTGGTAGCGGGGGAGCTGCAGGGGTGGCCTCTGTGAAAAGAGGCCAGGGGCTGCCCCATGCTGGACATCGCTGGCTCCACAATGGACCCACTGCAGGACACAGCCGAGTCCATCAGCAAAGCTGGTGGCACCCCTGTGAAAAGATATTTAAGAAAGGGCAAAATGACACACGGGCAGAGGAAAAGAGAGAAAAAAACCCTGCAAAATGGCAGTGTGAACATCAAAAACAGAGAAGGAGAGGAAGGAGGTGCTTCAGGCGCTGGAGCAGATACTCCCCTCTAGCCCGCGGAGAGGACCATGCCAGAGCAGGAGAAAAGTGGGAGAGGAAAGGAGTGGCAGAGAGAAACAATTATGTATTGACCCATACCCCATCCTGCTTGGGGGGGCAGGTAGAGGAGTCTGGAGTGAAGCTGAGCTTGGGAAATAGGGGAAGGAAAGGTGTTTTTAATTTTTGTCTTTGTTTCTCACTACCCAAATCTACTTTAATGGGCAATAAATTTAATTAATTTTCCACAAGTTGAGTCCGTTTTGCCTGTGACAGTAAACGGTCCATAATCTCCCTGTTTTTATCTCAACCCATGATTTTTCTCAGCCTCTTTTCTGCCCTTGTCCTGCTGAGGGGAAAGTGAGTGAAAGACTGGGTAGGAGTTTGGCCCTTCCACCAAAACAGCCCCAAACAGAAATGAAAAAAGATACTTGAGCCTGTTAACAGCTTGAAAGTACGTACACGTAATTGATTTCACACTGTTTAACATTTCCTTTGTCTTCTTGTGGGACATCATCTTTCTTCTTAGCTTCTCTTTCAGCACAAGTACGAATCTAGTCATTGAGAAAAAAAACAAAACAGAAAATGCCTTTTTTTTTTTACAAATGAGAAGTTACAAGTTAAAAACGGTAATATATTCTTCATGACAGAGTAAGAGTCATGGTGACTTTTTAAGCTCACAGCTTTCAAATTGGTTAATTTGCAACTAGAGACAACTGCAATAAAAGCAAGAGCTGCCTCAAGTATGGGAAGCGTTAAGTGTAATCCTTGATACTACTGTAAGACATAATTGCTTTCATCTCAAAGAAGCACCATTACGGTTCTTAGTTTTAGCAGCGGTAAATTCCTTTTTCAGAGACTGACTTAAAAAATATTATTGTTCTGACTAGTAGACACCTATCTCTATTTGGAGGCAGACATATATTTTCCATGTCCATATGAAGTCAAGGTAGTCTTTTTTACATTCTGTTACTTAAAAGATGTCCCCTTCTGCATCATTCTGGTAATCCCTTCTCTGTCCCTGCTTCAGTCATAATTCATCTCTCCCATACCAAGCTGTTCAGAACTACCTGGAATATCACACAGACTGTCTTGCCCCCCAACGTCTTGCCCTTCTGTAGTGGTAAAATAGCTTCCTGTCTCTACTGGAAGTACCTCAGTTTATGCAGCCCTGGAGCTCATTTGCCTTTCTTGTGGCCAAATCACTTGACAGCTTATAGAAAACCATTATAAAACTTTATTAACTGTAAATTGTAGCACACAGACACCTGTTTGTTTGAATATTTGTGCCAATCCCACATTAATTGTAGAAGTTATAGATTACCTTTATCATTTCTTCTTCCCCTGCAGTTTTGCTTTTGGCTTCTATATCTCCCTCTTCATTACATCTAATAAAACGGCTGTTTGCTGCTAGCAATGCCATTTTCTTCTGCAGAAATAATATCACATATTGTTAGTATAAGGATTCTATACAAACTCTTTGATTCATAACATTTATCCTCTACAATACAGCAGAAAACTCTGTAGATGTGTTTTATTCTTTTATATGTTGACACTTCAATAGCTAGCTGGCAGACCTGCTGGTTCCTTCATTCTTAAGATGCTTATAGCTGCCAAAATGCAGCAGTTGGGAAAACAGAAGATTAAAAGTTACAGTATGGAAGAGATTGCAAAAGGCTTTTACTGCACAAAGAACATAATTATAGATTAACTCAAAATACAGTCAAATTCTAGGAATAGCAAATGAATTATTCCAAGCAGCTTACATCTTGGAAAACAGGTTCCCATTGCTCTCTTGATCCTATTGCATCTGAACGTCCAACAACAAGTCCATCTGAATTTATACCAAGGTACTTGCCATAACCAGACTTCAGAGCAATCCTCAAAGAGAAAATGCAGGAAAACAATAAAGAATGTTTTTAATTTGAGCAATTCTCAATATCCAGCACAAACACATTATTAACAGGCAATGTATTTCAAGAGAATATTAAAACATGTATTCACACCAGAAATGTGGATAACGTGTATCAAAACTTGTAACATTTTGTTACAGCAATTACCTTGTATCAGACAACTTTACTGCTGTAAACTGTTCAGGAGGACTAGGGCCTTCATCATCTGAGGAATGAATTTTCCATTAGTTAGGTATGAAGTATTAAACATACAATATTTTAACCTGTTTCAAAAAAGAACTAAACAATGACCATTGCAAAATACTACAGAAAGCTCCAATACTTCATTTCTTTAAAAGTTCCTTTTTTAAATATTCACTTTTAAAAAAGCAATGCAGGTGCTCATTTATGTTCATATATTTACAGTGCTTAAAACAAGACACAAAATAAAGACAATCCTTGTGTAAAGAAATTTACAGCTGAGAATGTTTCATAAGTTTCCAAGTGGCTCTGAAAACCTTAATCTCCTTGTAATGTTATTTTTTCCATAACAAAACACATTACGGTTCAGCTATGGTAGCACAACTCGGTATCCTAAAAGCTACTAGCCTCTCCATCCCTCAAAACCAAAATGAGATAATATTGCCATTGTTGCTTTGATCTCACCTTGGAGGTGAAACACACTGTCAGGGTTCTGGAACAGTCCTTGTCTGACTGACGGCTCTCAAATTCAAAGTAAGGACTAGCTAATTATCCCGCCACTTTAGTAGTCCACTTGTGCAGCAACAAAACAAGTATATTAAGATGAGGATGCAGCAATAAGCCTTGAAACTCATCTGCCTTGAGTTTCACTCTTCAACTGACGCCATAAAGTTTTTATAGGATTTAATAAAAGTTATATTGCTTTTTATCCAGTAAGTGGTACAGCCTTTAACAGGTGATCATCTCCAAGGCAGTCCAATTTATTGTACATATAAAACAGCAAGAAACCAATGAAACCGATTGGTAGTCATTAGGTTTAAGTCATCTGCATGCTATGGCTAGGATTATTGCATTATTTGTAATAAACTGCTTTTAGCTGTAAAACTGCTTGCCTTTAAGTGATGCTACTTTTATGCTTTTATGCCTTTCATTACTAAAACTGCTTAGTTCCAAATTTCCTGAAACAAACCTTTATGCGGTGCTCCAAGCGTAAACAAGCCATTGTCAAGGGCATGGATGTAAGCTCCTTTATCCATTTCTATAGCTATAGTTCCTGTAATTTCACCGAAATTACTGACGGCCCACCAGTTTCCTAAAATACAAAACCATGACAGTTTATAGATTAATTACAACTTCTGATTACAGTAGTTCAAGAGACAATATTTCTGTGTCTTCTCCGAGATTTGAAATTCTAAAGATACAATTGCTGTTGCTATCTCAAGATCTTTGTTATTCTGCATTATTCTGTACTACAGAGCCAATGTAATGGTGTTGCTGCTGAAACAAAGTCCTGCTGTCCTACCCACCCTGCCATCCCTAGTCACAGGTTCCTGCACTTCATCCCTTCTTTGTTAGTCCATAGAGCAAGTTGATCCATTCAGCTGATCCAGCAAAGACACACCCTACAAGGAAGGTTTGTGGGTTTTGTTCTGCCCCCCCGCCCCCCCCCGACCAGCCTCATGCAGTTTCAGGGTCATATCAAATTATTAGATTCTCCAACACAACAGAAACAGGTAAACTATCTCATCTTGCTGTTAAATTGCTTCATGTGAGCTGTTATCCTTAGACTTCAGTTGTTCAAGCCACTCTGCGCTTGAACATTTGAGCCCCATAGAATTCTACCAAAGTTAAAAGTAGCCCTACCCACGTGCATGAATTAGAATTATGACGTTTACGTTTTTTAAGCAGTAAAATTTTCTCCTGATACACTGTCTTACAAATATTTCCTACCTGGTTAAGATAATAACTATTTTAAATTAAATCTGAATATGATGTCTTTTTTCCACATGGCAAATTTGGCAAGTCAATCTGCCTTGAGCAGAAATAACCTTGCCCTATCTTTATACGACATATGGAGACAATTGTCTTGCCCTATACAGTCAGGGCTCGCAGATCAATGTATTAATTTTCCAAATCTCTCCCACTTTTCTGAAATCTGGCTAAACTAAAGAATGTAGAACATCTGTAACATTCTTCTAGTGTAAGACACAATAGTCCATTTTCTCATATATCATAATTTCTTTTAACACAGGAACAAGGATGACTTCCCCTGGCACGGCTTTGCCTATATACACATAATAAAAAATGACATTTATCCTGTAGTGTGCACTATGCTACAGTATACATCTGCATCTCTCATGACTTTGTGGTTCTGTTTTAGCTGTTTTTGTAAAGTGAACTGTGATCAATTGAGGACAGGACAGCACTGAAGGTCAACAGTCTGTCCAGTTACTGCTCATGGCCATACATACTTTGATCCTTCTCTTTTATGAAGGAGGACAGAGTGGAGTTATATTTTGTTACTGGTTAATGTTTCTGTCTTCAGTTTCAATTAACAGTAGCAAATTTATAATGTGAACACATCACAGCAGTCAAGGAAGTATGTCAAATTAAAAACAAAAACTAACCAAGACTTCTCCTTTTGAAAGGATGGAAGGTTTGAGTGAACTAAAGAATGCAGTCAGAAAGTAACTAGTGGCAGAGTAAGAACAGAAAGCACAGGTGATCCAACCACTAATTTTCAAAGCAACAGTAACAGAAGACAGAAGCTATTTACATAGAAATGCGCTCATTAAATAACAGCATTACAGTGCTAAAAAGTCTCTCCTCCTGAAGCAAATATCACTGATCCATCCCGTTGATGTCAGAAGTTCCATTTGGAGTCTAGGAAGATCCCAACATACAAATAACGTGTTGTGAGAAACAGTTATACGTCTCTACAGGGACTACACTTAGTTTACAAAGTCCTATAACAACCTCTTCAGCTTCTGCTATCCCCTACAGTTTCCACACTGTGACGTAATTCCTGGAAAGCAGCTCACCAACAATATCAAGTTGCTCTGCCGCATCCTCTTCTCTTTTCCTTTTCTTCTCCTTGTGCTTTTTCTTGCTGTAAAGGCAGATGCAAACAAGTAAGAACGGGCCTGCGGCCGGCCCGGCCCGGCCCCAGCGAGCTCTCTCACACGGCCTCGCTCCCAAGCCCTAGGGGAGCGGGTCACTGACACCAGCCCGGAGCAAGGGGCTGACAACCCGAGAACCCCTGCCCTGGCCGGCGTGCTACCCGCAGCCGGAGGGACGGCCCGGCCCGGCCTGACCCCAGTCCAGCCCCCGACGCGACCCCCAACGCAGCGCGGGGAGCGCGGTCGGGGTTCTCGGCCCCAGGCACCGCCGCACTAGCAGCACGGCGGCGGGCGGGGGAGGGGAGCGGGGAGCGCGGGGCGGTGGTGGCGGGCAGCCCGCTCCTCACCTCTTCTCTTTCGCCCCTTTGAGGACGAGCTTGGTGGATTTAACGCAGGAATACTCCGCCATCTCAGGCTACGGCAAGCGCGGAAGGACACGCCCGCCAGGGAGAGGGCGGAGGCTCTGCAGCAACAACCTCCCTCCCGCCCATCACGCCGCTGTTTCCTGTTTCCCGCCGGTGGGGCGCGCGCGTGCGCGGTGCGTAGGGACCGCGACAGCGTTTCCCCCGTCTGCCCTCACCGCGGGTAGCGGGCCCTGGGCACACAACCTGAGGGGAAAAATGAAACAAGAAAAGCTAAAAATTACGTTTAAGGGCGTGTCCTCCCGGACCTCCCCCTTCTAAGTCTGGCTTGGCTCCACCGGTTGCTCTAGTGCTTTGCAGGACTGCAGACCCCTAGCGCTAAGGAATGAAGAGCCTACAGCTCCGTCTCTGGCATGCAGTAGTAACCCATTCATCTGTGTATTTAAAAGCATATCTAACGGACACACAGCAGAGCCCTTGGACCGGTGCCCTCTGCCAAGGGCAGCAGGCCTTGCCTGAGTGGCGGTGGTGACGGCGAGGGCGGCGTTACGCGAGGGTGGGGCACCAGGCCCTGCTGATGCAGGAGCAGAAGCTTCAAGGGAAGCCTGTGAAGGCAAGTTGGGGAAATGAAGCTCGTAAGTCAACCAAGTACACCAAACTAGGCGTAAAATAAAGTTTATGGCAATTTTTCCCATCCTGTTAGCCACTCTATTCCACAGAGTAAAATTTACTTCAGGCTTTCCACTAGAGGTATAACCACCTTTTTCTCACGTGGTTAACTTAGCACCTTCTCCACAGGCACCACTACTCCTTCTTTGGGGAGCGGCCTTGCTAGCACATCTGTGATTAGACTCCTGATTAGAGAATAATTTGTAATTTGCATTTAGTCTTCTAGTCTGTTGTTTCTACTTCACACTAATGGAGGGGGTTTTGTGTCCAAAAGGTTGTCTGTTTATTATATTAGCTGGTCAAATGAAAGATACCATCACTCTCAAATCTTGTCTTACATGTACACATATAGAGATGCTTGCATTGGATTTCTTCCTTCCGATTTCATTACCTATCTATGCTTACAAGTTCTCAGCACCTCAAAGGTATATTCTACAAGTAAGAAATGTGAGTCTTACACATGGCTATGTCAAGGCCTTTAAAATCACTGAAATCACTGCCAGGTGATAATACTCTGCATGTGTAATGTCCCAATAAATGACCCTGGAGTCTGAGGATGACTGCAGGTGTCTTCCACAGATACTTTGATTGGATTCAGGACCTTGCCACTTCTCACCAAAATGCTTTCAGTTTCCATCTACATGCCTAACATGACTAACCCCATATTGTTATCTGTGAAGCTGGAGTGGTTACACCTGCCATGTCAAATGAAAGCAAGAGGAATGGACTTCCAGGTGTTTTTGGCAAGTCCCCCATTTTGGAGGTTTGGAGAGAAGGCAGTTCGGAGGAGGCATGGGCTTGTCAGCAGGAGCAATACTTGAATCAAGCTGCTGGTCTGTGTAAATTCAGAATACTTTTTTTGTGTCTCTGGCACGCTACTTTCCTGCTGGTGTCTTCATCTGTTGCAGTTTATCAGTGAAAGACAGTTGTCTCCTTGATCAGTCTTTGTGAAGCGGATAACGTGAAACAGCGTGTTGTAGCAGTAGACAGTATGTGACTTTATTGATTTATTGACTTACCAGTCCCAGGAACTTGCATCTTGCAATTAGTTCTTCCAGTAAAAGCTGAAAAAATAGGCGGTACAGAAAGGTGCAGGCAATGATGGACAGCTTGCTGACCACTTCTGATCTCTTCACAGAGCTGCGATCAGGGAAGGATTGTGTTAGTAAAGTCTTATATCCAGTCAGGTTGTGAAAGTCCCGCACATCTTACTGTATGTGAAGGACCAGAGAAGATCCAGATTTCCAAATACAAGATTGAGATACTTAGCCAGACTACTAGCAATCTATCTGTAGATTTCAACCTCACCCTCAAGTACGTTCTGTTTCCTGTTCTCACATTTCTAGAGATTGTTGCCTGACTTCTTCTAGAAACCTTTTGATGTCTTATAATTTTACAACCAATAGTAGAATGGTTGTTCCTTAGTTTGCTTCGTTGGTTTTGGTGGTAGATACAATGGCTTGTTCATTATTAAAACATTTCAGTCAATATATTCATATTTTGTTCTACATTCTCATGTCTCCAGCCCTTTGGAAATTAATTCAAGCTAACCTCAGCATCGAGCAATTTTGGCAAATATAATTATAATTGTATTTGACTCTCATTTTATCATTAAATACTTTTTTGCTGGTTCTAAACAGATAAGCCTATAAGGCAGAAATTTTAGTAAAGGGAATATAAAAAATGAGAGAGCAATTACATAGGAATTAGAAGAAAGCACAGAGGAAATGAGTGAAGCAAAAAGAATGTCTGTCAGCATGCTGATCACTCAGCCACCCTTGCATGCTAACTTACCCTTCAGTGTTTTGGTTATTTTGAGGTTGTATTTTGAGTTCTTTTTAGGCTTTGATTCTGTGGAGAGCAAATCTGCAGGGGTTCTTTATTCTTTTCTTAACTGTGCTTTAACTCTACAACTTTATTTGTGATGGATCTTATTTTTTGGCTGCTTAACCGTGCAACCTTAGCATTTGTGAGATATCTGTATACTTTTGTCAAAGTGGGCCAGCGTACATTGATACAGCATGAGCAGCACTTCAAAGTATACAAACACTTGCCTGAGAGGTAAGATGGGAGAGGAAAAGGTAGTATTTTAGTATGTTATGAAACAAAGATGCTTTGACCACTTTTGGTTAAGAATATAAAGCATTTTATAAGAGACGTAATAACTTTAAAAGTATTAAGAATTACCTAAGTTAAATTGTTGTTTTTTCTTGTTAACTTTTGAAAACAAAAGCAAGTAAAAACAGTTTTTATTTTAAAATACATATATTTCTATCATATGGTGGAAGTGCACAGGCTTTATATTTTGCTGTTTGTCCAGCAGATGTTGCTACAGCCACAAAAATAAATGCAGATTAAGAAATTTGAAAAAAATTAGTAGTTTTATTTTCATTGCAGATCACCCTTACATATCCTGATCCTGGCAAGAATTACACACATGCTTACATTTTTGCACTGGGAATAGTCCCAGTGAATTCAATAAGCAACTCATTCTGTGTAAAGTTAAGCACGTTTATAAGCTTTTTTAGGACGGGGCTATATCAATTATGTTTGCTATTTTCTTTGTTTTTTCTGTTTTCTCCATTATGAAGAGAAAGAGGGAAAGACAGAAGGACAGAGACCACAAATTTTTAATTTTAAAAGAAATGTAGATTGTTCTCAGGCTCCCATAATGTAAAATATATCTTCTTGTTAATTAATATGATTTTATTTAAAATTCATGTAGTTTAGGTTTCCTCTTTAATTTAATGACTCCAGCAACAAACAGGCATCACTACAGTATATACAAAGACAGTAAAACCTTTTCCCACAGGGCAAAGCAATCCCATCAATCAGAAAACTGTATCTAAAATGGTACCACTTTAGAAAAGTTATTTAAACTCTAATTTGCTAGTTAGTATTTTTGAAATTAAAACATTTCCAAAATGTGCTGGCTATGATTGTTTAAAAATATATAACAGTTCATTTTCTTTATGGCAATGAAAATAAATGAAGCCTTTGTGTTTGCAAATGTAGAAAACAAATCACTTTTTTAATGACTGGATTTTCCTGCCAGCTTGGAATTTGCCGCATGTGCATTTTATTTTGAATGCCTAAAGAGTGAAATCATTTGCCGTCTCTCATGCAGATGGGGCAGATTGGCTGAGGTGTCATTTGCAAAATGTGCACTTTCATCATTCAAGTTTGAAGGGGATCATTAGAAACAATGTTTCCTATAGATACTCAGGATTGACGGAAGTGGAGGGCTGCGCATCTATGGGAATAGCCTAGCGTCATAAGAGCCTGGGCCAAAACTTGGGCGCTTTGGAGTTTTCTTCTGTCTTGTTTATTTATGTTAGGAAATATAAAAATACCTCCCTAAACCAGAGAAACTTGAATTAGCTCTCTTGATAGCAGAGTTGACAGATAGTTTATATGCTTTTTTTTGCTTTCATTTATAAGTATGGGGCCCTTGTGAAATATCTAAGCTGCTGACTGATGTAACAGCCAAGATTGATATAGTTTTGTTTACTCATTTACAGAAGGAGGGAAATCTGATGTGAGTTAGAACCAGAGCAACTATATTTTAATTTTTCCCCAGTGGGACAAAGTACATATACTGGAATATTGCGGTGGTTTCTCGTAATGTTCAGCAGCAGTTGTGTGAGAGTGTTGAAGCATCCCCAGGACATGATGGTGCATAGCACGGTGACATGACAGATGTAAATAAAAAGCTAATTTGATTCTTGGCATTTTTAATACTGCATGCTGAAAATGCTTTTATTATAACTTCTGAATTTTAAATGTGACCTGAAATTACCTTTTTTAAAATGTAAAATGTTAGTGTTGGATTTTTAGCACAGGTAAGTAAATATTCTCAAAATGGCATTTCTATGACTCAGCTTATGGTATAGTAGTTAGAGTATTTGGAAAATAGGAAGGGTTTCTCAGCCTGTTAGGGGCAAGGTGGAGCCTTAGCTCAGACCTCCCCAGCCTTCAGCATCCCTGGTTCAGAGACCTTGTGTCGGTTGTGGCTTCTCATCTTCTTCTGCCTTGCCTGATCACTCTCCCACTTTCCTCTGCTGTTGCTCTGTGAAGTTATTGTGGCTAAGTTTTTGTAGTTGGTCAGACCTTCTCAATATCTGCTTCTCCAGACATCGAGACCTGCCTCTAAAGTTTGGCAATGGGGGACAGAGCACTCGCCAAAATCCCTTTCTGCTGGACACTCAGTTAATGCAAATGAGAAATGAAAAGGCAACTGTGAATGTACAGTGGTCTCATGCCGATGCCAGCTCTGTATGGTGTTTACTTGGGCTCAGGCCTTCTGGTTTCTGCTTGTCATCCCAAATGCCTTATCATGTGTACTTCTTCAGATTCTGTTATTCTTTTCCAGTAATTGCTCTGATTTTTATTCTGAAGTACTGAGGAAATTTTT